TTCCTTATTCAAACTAATCATGCTACACCGGTAATGTACACTGCGATTCATTTCATTTCGTTGAAGTTTTAGAATTGCAGGGGTTAAAAAACGTTGACACGCTTCATCAACTTTTTTAAAATACTGATCATGGTATCCCTCTTCTCGGCTCATAGGAAACTTGCTAATGGCATCATTTAAATTTACAAAACGACTTTCTTTTATTAACAGCCTCTCAATAGTACGATCAAGTTCCAAGAGAGATGATGTTCCATTTACATTGCTCTTAATTATGCTATTATAGGCTTCAACACGTTGCGTGCTCTGTACTCCTGCATTAAAAGCTCGATGCGTGAAACATAGTACCCAAGCTTCCCTACATGGATATAACTGACGCTGCAAGTAATCAGCAGCATCAGTATATTCTTGAATTAATTTATCCCATCTCTCATTAAAAATTGTCTCAACGCGGCTATTACGTACGTAACAAAAGGCTGCAAAAAATTTGTGCCAATTTTCACCACGGTATTTACTAAGAAAATGTTTTTCCAAGTTTTTACGGATGTGAAATAGGCAAAAATGATGTTTTGTTAATGGCCAGGTACTTTTTGCTGCAGCTATCATCGCAGGATCAGCATCAGTGTAAAGTAGAGATGGCACTAATCCACTTGTTGCCATTTTAAGACTTTCAAACAACCATGAAAATGTATCTTTAGTTTCATCAGACAATAATGCAGTAGCTGCAAGACGAGATCGATTATGGTTGTCAATCAAAATAACAACACACAAGATCATTGAATATTTGTTTGTTTTAGCAGTTGTGTCAATTAATACTACGTCAGAGAAACGAGCCCATAATTGTTGTTGGCTTGGCCTCATCCAACAGAGACCCACCAGATGATTATCTTTGCCCTCAAACCGTGCATCTACATGGAGCATTGGATCATCCTCTTTTTGCTTCATCAACTCAATATACATTGAACCAGCATCACTTGTCACTCTTTTTTCACGCCTAATTGCCTGAACTAGATTATAAATGTTACGTGGATGAATGTATTTTGTTGGGTTTTTACGCTGTAGAACTTCAATAATAGCGCCAGCATGTACTCCAGAATCCGTGAGAAGCCTTACTTCATTACAAATTTCCGGGGAAAGTTTGCGATAACGAGAAGCGACCATGTCAATGTTTTCAACAAGTTCATGATTGTGTTGACCATCAACTTTCGTAATATATATCAAATTATCTTTCTTCCTTCGATACGTATTTACATGGAATTTACAATTTCCTGTATGATGCCCTTTGTTACGACCTTCAATTATGTGAGCTTCTTTCCGTGAAATATGCATTCGGCCTTTCATACACGTATAGACACGTCGTCGGGGAAGCCCATCTTCCTTATCTAGATCACTGTGTGTAATCGTAAATGCGAAACCATATTCCAAACCATGATTGTCAAGCCATCTTAAACAAAAAAAAAAAAAAATTGTCAGCAATCACATAACTTATGATCATTCTTTAATTTTATAGTTCATAGTTACTCATCAACTTCTTTCCAGTTATTAAAATCCATTCCCGGTGCAATTGGATATAGCGGCCCTGAATCCTCAACATTTTCATCACTGTTTTCTTCAACTTCTGGCGGTTCGTCTAAGCAGGGCAATTCTTCTACGTCGGTTGCTTGTGATTTTGCATTGTAATTTACTAACTGATCAAACATATCTTCCAAGACGTCCACAAAAGGCGACTTATCAACGACATTTATTAAATCTTCTTGATGCCGTGACTCTCCTACATTAGTCATCCATTGAGTTTCATGTATATCCAAATGACTAAAATCGTCTTTTGATCCATAGGCATCAGCGCTATTATCACAAATATTCTCTGTATCAATTAATGAAGGAAATAAGGAG